ACCAACGTTACATCCTTGATTACAGGAGCAAGTCTAAACTTTGAGTTCCTTGTAGCCTGAACACATGTGTTGATGTTAAATTCAGTCCCACTGTCAACAGAGTTGCTTGAAGATTTTAATTCCTGTCATTTGGAAAGTAAAGTCAGCAACTTGTCATTTTCATTTAAAAGTCTTTCTTTGTCCTTCTTTGCATTCTGTAATTGTTCAGCCAATGCTCGAACCTTTGCTTCCTCTGCTTTGTTCTCACGTTGTAATTTGTCAGTTTCACATTTCTGTAGATGCTGTAGAATTTGTTTGACCAAAATCACAGACAAGCCATCTCTGTTGGTGTTTGTCCTTAAGCGCTGCATCTTTCCAAAAGCTCTTTTAATGTCTGGCAAGGCCCATAGTCCACTCTCTGAGTACTTGATACTGTACTTCTGGCACATGTCATCATGGCATCAGTCCCAGCCTTTTGTCCAAATATGCATTCAGATTCTCCAACATCTGATCAATGCACGCAATTGAAATTGAAAGGGGCACGCTGGCGCGTTTGGCTGCCCCTCCTCTCTCCCGTTTATTTTAAGTTGTTTCTATGGCTATGAGCCAGTGAAGACTGTCTATGTCTTTTTATTCTACCATGATGTGGAATCATGCTTCACATGCTGGACTACTGCTTTTATCTTTGAGTGCTGTTTGTTGGAATTTACTCTCCTGTTGCCTGTCCCAGGACGTACACCGCTTACGTCAACAACTTATGTCAACAACTGTGAGGCTGCTGTTGGTGTGGACCCTCCCAGAATGGTTCTCAGGTACACTGCTCGCCAGTTGTTGAACCTGAAGGGAAACTTAGATTTGGTGAAAGACATACATGCTCTGCATACATTGCTCTCTACATTCGTGTTGGAATACTGCGACCTAAGCGTTACATACATCGCTCTTCAAGGCGTAGTTTTTTATGCTCAACATCTAAATCTGTCGCTTATCCGACTTTTCTGTGCAAACCCCATAGACTGCTGTTTAGACCTACAGTGGTTAATTTTAATAACTTATTAGCACTCAAGCGTGTGGAGGTTGCCTCGGATTCATCTGCTCCCTCGCGTCTGCTAAAATCAGCACTGTTTAACGCGCGCTCTGTCAACAACAAAACTGTTATTTTATCTTACATTATTTTAGAACAAAAGTTGGACCTTGTCTGTTTAACTGAAACATGGCACAAAGAATCTGACGGTCTTCTTTTTAATGAACTGACTGCTGCTGGCTATGAATTATTAGATCTCCCTCTCCCTCTGGTAGAGGTGGGGGTATCATTGTGTTGCACAATCAACAGTACAACATGTGTCCCATGGCTGTTCCCAAATGTGACTCATTTGAATGTCTTGCTTTGAGTGTTTCTGCGCCCCTCTCTACTGCAGTGGCTACAGTCTACAGGCCTCCTAAGTCAAATAAAGACTTTTTATCTGAATTTTCTGATATATTTTCTTTTCTCTGACTCATATTTGAGAGAATCCTTCTCTTGGGGGATTTCAACATCCACATGGATATAATAGATTCCACAATAAAAAAATTAATTTTTTTCCTTATTGGAGTGCTTTGAGTTAAACCAACTTGTGGACTGTCCTACACATGACAAAAGCCACACTTTAGACCTTGTGATTTCCAATGGTTCATTTGTGTCTCAGTTGTCAACCTCTGATTTAGGTCTGTCTGATCATCGGGCTGTCTTTTTTAACATGGAATTATCTGACATGGACACTACCACTTCTCACATCATTAATTATCGCAAGTGGAGATCTATTGAGCCCACTGATTTTTCAAATTTTATTGATTCTTCTTTAAGCTGTGTTTCTCTATCTGATGATCTGGATAATAAAGTCTCTGTGCTGAATTCTGTTCTCTTGTCTGGCCTGGACACGCTGGCTCCCTTGAAATCACGATCTGTTTCTTTTGCACGCTCCGCTCCTTGGTACAGTGATGATCTGCGTGCTATGAAGGCTATGTGTCGTAAAATGGAGTGTAGATGGCGCATATCAGGTTTAACTGTTCATTACCAGGCATGGAAAGACAGCTTACTTAAATATAAGGCTGAAATTGTGTCAGCTAGATCTGTTTATTTTTCTCAGATAATTGTCAGCAATCAGAGAAACCCTAAACAACTGTTTCACTCAATCAACAAGCTGCTTAAAAAGCACAGCCTGTTCCTGCTTCAACTCACCTTTGTAATATGTTTTTTAGCACCAAAATTGAAAATATACGTAACCACATTATTACTACTCATACTTCTGCTGCCTCTTCCTTAAATATTTCTGCATTTTCTGGTATTTCTCTCTTTAACTTTGCTATTCATGACTCCCAGTCTCTCTGTAATATGGTTTTGAAAATGAAAGCTTCAACTTCCAGAGTTGATCCAATACCATCTTGTCTGTTCAAATTATGTTTTGATTCCCTTTTTCCTGTTGTTTTGTGAATTGTCAATGACTCTCTGTGCACTGGTGTTGTGCCAGCAGCACTTAAAATTGCTGTTGTCACCCCTGTACCAAAAACTAACAACATGGACTTTGATAAACTGAATAATTTTCGTCCCATCTCTAATCTTCCATTCCTCGCCAAAATTTTAGAACAAAGAGTGGCTTCTCAATTGCTTTCTCATCTTTCCTCTAATGATCTTTTTGAGCCACTTCAATCTGGATTTCGTAAACTCCACAGCACTGCAACAGCGTTAGTTAAGGTCACTAATGACTTGTTAATGGCTTCTGAATCTGGCCATCTATCTATACTGATTCTTCTTGATCTTAGTGCACCTTTTGACACTATAGATCACTCTATTTTAATCACCCGTTTAGAGACTATCTTTGGGGTTTCTGATTCTGCATTGAAGTGGTTTAAGTCCTACCTCTCTGATCGCAAGCAGTTTGTTGTGATGGGTGGTTGCAGGTCTGAGGTCGGTGTGGTGCACTCTGGTGTTCCCCAGGGATCAGTTTTGGGCCCCTTACTTTTTAGGATTTACATTTTTCCATTTGGCCAACGTTTTAGAACACTTTGTCACAGTGTCTGGTTGTGGTGCCCTGGACTGGCCACTTGAGGGCACTCTCCCGTTTTTATGTTATATGTGTTGGACTCCATTTCCCATAGTCCCTTGCTTGTCATGCACAGAACAACCTCCTGGACAGCAACCAATCTGGCTTCAGAAGTGGACATTCGACTGAGACTGCCTTGCTTTCAGTTGTTGAAGCCCTAAGACTGGCAAGAGCGGCTTCCAAATCTTCTATACTTATTTTGCTGGATCTGTCTGCTGCTTTTGATACGGTGAACCACCAGATTCTCCTGTCAACCCTATTGGAAAATGGCATCTCAGGAACTGCACGCCAGTGGTTTGAGTCTTACCTCTCAGATAGGTCCTTCAAGGTATCTTGGAGAGGCGAGGTGTACAAGTCGCAACATCTATATACTGGGGTGCCTCAGGCTCTTCTCTGTCTACATGGCATCACTAGGTTCTGTCATTCAGAAACATGGCTTTTCATATCACTGCTATGCTGATGACACTCAACTCTACATTTCATTCCATCCTGATGATCCGACGATAGCTGCTCGCATCTCAGCATGTCTAACAGACATTTCTTGTTGGATGACGGACCATCACCTTCAACTCAACCTGGCTAAGACAGAACTGCTTGTGGTTTCAACAAACCCATTAGACCACATTGCTAAAACTGCCCGTTCCTACAGATTTGCTTTATACAACATTAGAAAGATCAGGCCCTTTCTTTCAGAACATGCAACACAACTCCTTGTTCAAGCTCTTGTTCTATCCAGGCTGGACTATTGCAATGCTCTCTTGGCAGGTCTTCCAGCCACTTCTATCAAACCTCTACAATTAATCCAAAATGCAGCTGCAAGATTAATCTTTAATGAGCCGAAAAGAACGCATGTCACACCTCTGTTCATCAATTTGCACTGGCTACCAGTAGCTGCTCGCATTAAATTCAAGGCATTAATGTTTGCCTACAAAACCACCACTGGCTCTGCACCCATTTACCTAAATTCATTACTTCAGAGTTATGTGCCCTCTAGAAGCTTGCGTTCTGCAAGTGAACGGCGTATTATTGTGCCATCTAAAAGAGGCAAAAAATCACTTTCACAGACTTTTTCATTAACTGTTCCCTCCTGGTGGAATGACCTGCCCAAATCAATCCGAGCAGCTGAGTCCTTAACCATCTTCAAGAAACGACTAAAAACACATCTGTTCCACCTTTATTTGACCCTCTAACTCGAACACTTTCTATTCTATTTTAATTCTACTTTATCTATATTTATCTTCTTTTTAATTTTTTTATTAAAAAAAAAAACAAAAAAAACAAACAAACACTAGCTTTCTATTTTTTCTATTCTATCTACTTGTTTTTCTTTGTGTATGTGTGTGTATAT